GGCCAACGAGATCCTGATTCAGCTGAGGCAAGGGGCAAGGGCTGAGACTCCAGATCCGAAGAACTCGCGGTTTCGTGGGGGGCAGCGATACCCAGACGCAGGCATCTGGCCACCCCGCTGCGTGAGCGGGACGCCGACCATCTCACCCATGACGAGCAGGTTGAATGCACGTACTTCACGCCGTGTGGCTAGCTAACTGAGGTTGGGGGCCCTTGCCTGACGCTCCGGAAGCGCTTGAAACGCTCAGGTGCTCCAGCCTGCTTGAGCCAGCCTAGCAAGCGTAGTTCAACACCCCGCGTGTTTTTCAATCATCACTTCACCTTGAAGCGGTGGAGGGAAATGTGCCCTCAGGTGCAAAATGTGGAGGCGTCCACGAGGCACGCTGCGTAAAGCAATCTACCGAATACCAGAACGAGATGTCGTGCCAACTGGGGGGCGCAAGCTAGAGAACGTGGGGTTCCCGAAGGACTCCTGAGGATTGAGGCAAGTTTGCGGCAGGGATCTCACGATGTCCTTCAGGTTTCCTGTGGCCCCCTTCAGGTTCTTGGGGGATTTTTGAATTTTCTGGGTGAAGTACAAATTTCGGGTCGGGCGAAAGGGGGGGATAGCAAAGGGGGGGTTTGAGAATCAGCTCACGTAGCTGATTTTTCCGGCGCCTCCCGGCGCCGGAGGCGGCCATGTATCGAGGAATGGGCCCCTCGGTGAGGCCGAAACCAGCTGCATGCAGCAAATTTCGTAACCCCCCCTTTCCCAATCCCCCCCCTTTCGCCCGGCCCGAAAATTGCTCCTGACGGGTTCCTGGAAGGACTGCTGCGATCTTTCGGGTTGCTGAAAAAAGCCCATCGCGAATCGCACTGCGCCCGCGCTCCCAAGACACAGTCCATTGAACATGGCACGGCGCCCACTTTCCGAAGGCCCAGACCCATGGGAAATGCAAGCGTTTGTGCTCCCAGGGCCACGATCCTTTGCAAATCACGCTGCGCCCGCGCTCTCATGGTCAGGTTCCCTAATAAATTACGCTGCGTCCGCGCTACCAGGGCTACTACGTGAGATCCTTTCGTCGGAACCCAACGGATTCTTCAAGAACCCTGCGAATTACTTCAGGATTCGAGTGCGTGCCCCGAACAACTCTTGAAGACTCCTGCTGATTTGCTCTGGCTTCTGGAAGATTTCTGAAAGCCCCTGAGGGTTCCTCAACATGTCCTCAAGGCTTCGTCCGGGCCCCTTTCAGATTCTGGAGGACTCCTGAAGCTTCTGGAGGAGTCGAACATGACCCCCCAACAGTTCCTGACAAGGAGTCCTGCGGGTTGCTGGGTGCTCCTTCGAAAACTGCGCACCCAGGACGCGACCCTTGCAAATTGCACGGTGCCCCGCGCTCATCGGGCCACGATCCACTGCGCATTCCCAATGCAACGATCCCCCCCCACGCGGTTAACAATCAACCGAATCGGTGTACTAGCAAACCACGGAGACCTCCAGGAGTAGTTAAAGTTCCGCGGCTACGGAAAACATCAGGAAGGTTTTAAGTGCCCCCCAAGGTTAAACTTGAAAGTTTTGCCACAGCTTTGCGGGTGGAGGGCGGTTCCTTGTCAAAATGTGGAGTTAACATTGGCGCCGCGCAAACCCGTTTTGCAAGTCTACAATCATTTCACACATCCTTACGATTGACGTCACAGACATGATGCTACACCACAAGTCAAGACTGTCATGGATCAGCACTAACGTTAACTCTCGATGTTGAAGTGGAGAGAATGGTGTTCTGGCGGGATAGAGGATCGTCAGGGTCGTCAGGACGCAACAATTACGTTGATTCGCAGCGTTGAAGTCCCAGAAAATGGAGATCTGGCGCGATTCAGGATCGCCAGGACGCAAGGGTAACATTGATTTGGGCGTCAAAATCCCAAGAAGGGTATTTGGCACGGTCGAGAGTTTCCAAACGGCTGTGCTCAAACGGGACATTCCCGCAATAGTTATGCATCCCTGTAGGAAACTATGAAGAGGAAATCTGGAAGGTTTAATATTGCAGCATCGTTGATGCGCGTTTGGGTTTACACTGGTCCTCCTACTCCTCGGCGTCGTCATCCTCCTCCTCCTCCTCCTCCTCCCCCTCCTCCTCCTCCCGCGCAGGCTGACCCCGCTCAGCCCAGACCAACCGCCCCAACGCCATGTTCCACCCTTGGGTGCGGCCCGCCGGACCAATTGGGAATGCGAATTTCGCCAGAAAGCGTCAAGACAAACCCCAGCGAGAATCCCTGGGGCGGGGGATGTGGAACCGCCCCGCAGGCCCTGGATGCGTTACGGCTCCGAGGATTGGCCGTGCGGGGTGGAAGCGCCCGCAGGGCATCCTCCCCATCCTGCTCCCCGCCGCCGTCGCCTTCGACCTCCATCCCTTCCTTCTCAGCCTCCGTGCCCCCCGGCACGGTGAGGCGAGCCAGAATGCCAAGTGCAATCTGGCAGGATTTCTGGAATCGTCCGAAGGACACCCCACGCTCGTTGCATCCCCCGACGCTCTGCCAGCGCCCAGACACGTCCTCAGCGCTATCCACTGCGAAGGAGATACCATGGCCACGGCAGGCCACCAACCCCGTCAACGTGGGCCACCAGGCGTCCATGACGGGACGGCCAAATACGGTTTCAAAAGAGCGCCCAACAAAACCCGAAGATTTGTTGGAAGGAATGCATGGAACGGACACGCTGACTGTACACAAAGATGCTCATCCTGGCCAAAACAAAAAGTAAAGACCAACCGGCCGCACGAAGATGAGAGAGGAGGGAGAGGAGGAAGCAGGAGGCGAGGAGGGAAGGGGGCAAGAGGGAGACCCATGGCCCCCAAATGGGATTCAAACTTCAAACTGAGGCGCACTACAAAGCTCTGTGAACCAGCACACAAACCTACACGCCCTCGAAAACCGAGCGGCGAAACGGCTGCATGATTAGATGACGTGACACAACAAAAGCAACGAAGGAAGGGGAAGAAGCAAGAGAAAGGTTGACAAGGCTCTTGACAAAAAACAGCGACCTCAAATAGGGGAGGGAAAATAGAGAAAACAATTTAGAGGCGAGCCCCCAGACCGGAGCCAGAGCCACGCATACATTTGCAGCGAAAACGTGGACGCCCAAGCCCGCCGGGCTGCAATCGCCGTCTGCCCTCCCAGGCCGCGTCCGAGCCACCAGCCACGCATAAAGCGAACCGCCCAAGCGGGCTCGAGGACATTGACCGTTTGATAAGAACAAATGGGAGCAGGAAGAGGAGGACGAAAGGGGGAGGACGGAACGGAGCGTGCACAGTTTCGACTCCGGCCAAATCCAGGGCAAACCCCCTACGACAATCCATCGGCCACGCGGCCGGGGCAGGCACTGGCCCGCCGGCCTGGACTTCACGTCTTGCCAGGGGGGAACGAGGAGGAAAACGGGAGGAAGAGAAGAGAGAGGAGTTCGGAGCATACGCGGGCGGGGCGCTAAGCCATCGACGATTGCTTTGCGTCCAAACAGGTTCTACCCCAGCCGAAATCCAGGGCAAACCCCCTGCGACAGCCCATCGGCCACGCGGTCAAGACAGCTACCGGCCCGCCGGCCCGTGCTTCACGACGTGCACGGGGGGAGCGAGGAGACAAGCAGAGGAGGCGAAGAGCCGGCCCATCCTGGGGGGGGGCTAGCTGATGCTAGGGGCGAACGCGGGAGGAAGAGAAGACAGGGGAGTTCGGAGCATTCGCAGGCGGGGCCTTGCGCTGAATCATCGACGATCGCCTTGCGCCTGATCCGCCGCCACCCCGCTAAGGGGCACAGGAACGCCCGTGGCAAATATTGCACGGGAGCCCTACGCGAGCCATATATATATATATATATATATATATATATTGGCGTACGGCGATGCCGACACAAGGTGCCATCAAACCAGCAGGAAAAATAAGCACCTTATGTTGCGAGCAAGTTCTCCTAGGCACTGGGAATAAACCAGGGCGCCGGCGATTACGAAAGCCGTTGCCCGCGCCCCCGGCGCAAAGTCCGAGTTAAGTTTCTGGCGACGAAAGAATGCACCTCCATTGAAACAGCCTACTGAACGGCAAGGCGAAACACTTAAATTTGTACCGCGGGGCCGGCCAAGGCGAAACCCTTAAATTTGTACCGCAAGACCGAACCCATTGGCCATGATCGCCGCCGTTCACATTACAAAGACTAAGAAAGAGAGGAAGAGGAGAGGAAACGGAGGAAGGGGAAGGGGGACGGGCGAGGGGCATCCCGCTGCTCGGAATTACTCGGGGCGCGGCCGCTTGAAAACGGTGGCAACCAGGCCCATGGCTTCCCATGGTCGCAGAGGGCCTCGCGCAGAAAACCATTAAACAGCGCAGCGCGCACTGCAGAGCGCGCGCCGTGTCTGACTGCGTTGTGTCCTGCGAAGCGCGTAGAGCGCAACGGCTCTGACCGACGCCGCTGAAGCTGCATCGGCGTACTGGGCCGCAGCACGCGGGGCAATGCACAGGAAGTCGCCGAGACAACGTGCAGACGGCGGCTTGCACAAGTGCAGCTTCCGATCGCAGGGAGCATGCGAACAACTACAGAAAGCGTAGTGCTCGACGCTGTCTTCGGCTCTGCAGCCGAAGATGCATCGGGCATTGTCTTGCAGTCGACGGCTCGTCAGCCATCCATTAAATGCGGTGCGGATTTGGCACGCCTGCGCGCGCGGCGGCAGCCATGCCGACGTGGCACGTAGAACGCTCAGCCTTCTGCCGACCCTGTGACCGGGCAGCGACGGGCGTTGGCCTGCGCTCTGGCCGGGGCCGCGCAGCGAGGGTTGAGGAGCCCCCATTTCCCTGGCCTGTCGCCCCACTTGCTCCTGGATGGCATGCCCGCCCCAGCGAAAAATGGAAGCCTCCACCTGAAGTTGGCGCTCCTGGGCTCGTACCTGTTCAACGGCGTCGGCCAGCGAGAGGGAGGAAACTGTTGGATAACCATAGCAAAGCGCTGACTTCCAGTGCTGCATTCCTGGGTTGGCTGATCGCCTCTTGAAGGGCCCTGGCGCGCTGCTGCGCTCTGAAGCCCCCGTTGGCCGAGTCCTCAAACTGCGCCACGCGAGCCTGGGCCGCAACAGACGACCAACGGAAATCGAACCAATTCTTCGGGAACGGGAACGACATGAGCGATTTGAGGAACTCGGATAACATCCACTGCGAGTGCCTCCGGAACAAACTCCCGCAGCCCCTGGCTTCAACGTCCGCGAAGGACGCGGGAAGCGGGTCGAGCTGAAAGACGACCGACAAAACCAAAACCACGAACACAGAGTGCGCGTCCAACGTGCTCATCATTCCCAAGCCTGCTGCGCTCCAGAGTGCCGCCGCCAGCCCAAGCCGCTTCCGACGCAGCTGGCGGGGAGGCGCGCCCCCAGGCCCGGCGTCGTCGTCGAAGTCCATCGCGTCGTCGTCGGCAGGACCAGGGTCCCGCCTGCAGGCGCCCGCAGCAGCCCGAGACGCAGCAGGCGGCTGGCCAGCCGCCGCCTCCGCGCCCGCCGCCGCCGCGTCGCCGTGTCGATGTTGCTCCTTCCGGTCCGCGCGCCGCTGGCGGCGCCTGCGCCGCCGCTCGCGCACCGCCGCCGAAAGGGCGGGAACGCGCGCGGTGTCGGCAGGCCCTGCGGGGCGCTCCCCGCCTCCTGCTGAGGCGGCCGTTCCGCGAGGGCGGCGGCCGACACCGCGGAGCGCACCACAGCCGCGACGGCGCGGCGCGGCGAGCCTCCGTCGAAGGCGCCACGGACAGCCTCGGCCACGACGGCGGCGAAGTGGCCCGGGTGAGGCGCCAGAAAAGTCCTTCTAGCCCGCGGAGCGGCAGCAATCCATCCTGAGGACGAACGGCGGCCGAGGGCGGGCGGGCGATCGCTTGAGCCAAAAAGACTACGGACACCGCAGCAACCATATGCAACACAACGCCTGAGTACGCCACAGTGCTTGCGTGCACGACAAAGCCTGTGCACACCACGGCGCTTGTGTACACCACAGCATCAGCATGCAACGCAGCGCTGGTGAACACCACCGAGCTTGCAGGTGAGGGCCTGCTGCAGACAGCTGAACACCACACAAAGGAAACGTTGATAACAGGATGCGGTGTTCTTCCTCCCTCCTCCTCGTCGTCCTTCTCCTCTTTCACCTTTCCCCTCTTCGTGCGGGTCGGCGCTATAACGCACGTGCGCATCTCAGCGCGCGCCGCAGAATGGGCGATTGAATGAGCCCACCCGGTTTCGAACGGCCAATTCTTCGGGAGGTTTCTGGACGCAGATGGGAGGAGTTAGGGTGATGCGGGAGGACTCGGGTCCAGCGGCGCTCCTTCTTCCAAAACGATCCTCTTCCAAATCCATATAAAACGGCTGCTTTCTTATGGAATCCACAGGCGTTTCATTATGGAATAGGAATTCCTTACAGCATTCAGCATATAACAATGGTACTCTGTTGCACACAGTTGCTGTGGTGCACACAGGCGCCGTGGTGTACACAGGCGTTGTTGTGCACGTGAGCGCTGTGGTGGACACTGATGCTGTGTTGCACACGGTTGTAGTGGTGTACAGGAGTGTCGTGATGTACACAAGTGCTATGTTGCACGCAGGCGCTGTGGTGCAGACTGGCTCAGTGGTGCAGATCGCCACCGACATGCTGCTGCTGCCCGTCCTCGGTCACTCCAAAGCATTTCCAGACGCCGCTGGCGCGAAACGTGGCGTCATGCCCACCCACCCGAGGTGACGGCCGTCATGTCCCCGGAAAAAATGATTTCGGGGCGTCTTGGGCGCCTCTCGGGGCCTCGCGTCGTGTTTGTGAAGGGCCTCTTGAAGCCTTGAGATGGATCGTGAAATGGGTGCCTCTTGGAGCCTCTCTCAGAACGCCGTGCAGGATGTACACGCGAGACGTCTCGTACGCTTCTAGAGGCCTATTGGAAGCCCTCCTGAGAGCTCCGTATGAGCATTTAGGCAGCCTCTGAAGGCCTCATGGGGATCTCTCTGAGAAACTGGGTGCGTTTGGGGGAGCCTCCGGGGGCCTCTTGGAAGCGTCCTGGAGGCTTCCTGAAGGTGTTCGGAGCATGTTGTGAGCCATATCCCCTAAGGTAACCTCGGATCTCCTGAGGCCGTTCTAGAGGGTTTGAGCACACCCAGACTGCTCTCGGCGAGGCGCAGCTGCTGGAAAGCATCCCGAGGCTGGAAACCGACCGACAAACAAAAAAAATGTTCGTCGGCGGCGATTCAGGGACACTACAGAGATGATTGGCTGGCATGCAGGACGAAAGAGGGAAAAAGGACACGGCCGCCGCGGGTGGGAAAACACACGCAACAAACAAACAAACACGAACATCGATGACAACGTCCAAGATCTCAAGTCCCAACGGGGACGGGACATGACCCCCAGAGGGATCTCCCTTCCCCGCTCCTGGCCTTTGCAAAGACGGCGGGCGCCGGTGACGCGGCTGTCCTGGACCAAAACGGCTTCGGAGAGGATCACTTCCAGGAGGGGTTCCAGAAGTGGCGAGGGAAGGAGGGAGGCAGGAGAAGGACCACATTCCGAATATCGAGGATCCGAGCTGTTAGGCCCTTCCTGGATCTACGGGGAGGGAAGGACGGGGGAGGAGGGGTATGGACAGAACAACCGAGGGACGGAAGAAGATGAGGAACGTGGGAGGCGGAGGAGGCATCATGCTGCCTCCACGTCCCTCCTCTTTCTCCTTCTGCTTGCTTGTCCCTCCCTCCACCCCTCCTCCTACCTTCCCCCCTCCTCCCACGACGAAGCGTGCAAGTGGGAGCCCTTCCTCCTCCCTCCTCTATCCTCCTCCTCCTCACCTGTGTGATGTGGCATGTGTTCTCGCCCTTCGTGTGAGCATCTGAGCTGTGCTCTCTTGGAGGACGAGATGTGAGATCAAGTGAAACGTGCGGTGGCCAAAACGACAAATCGATGTCGGTTTCGGTTCGTGACGTGCGCGACGCGCGTGCGAGGCGAAACTGTGCGAGTTCGTCCTCAAAATGGTTGGTCTAACAATGTACCAATATCGATAGCAATCTCCTGACAATACTATCGGTTTGAAGGTATCTTCGTATCGATCGGATTGAAACCGTATGTTGTGATGCCACAACACATATGCAATCAACACTTTCAATCGAACACTTTTTTACAGGCGAACAAACCACGGATAACCACGGGAGAACCACAAGAAATAGATGCGCCAAACCTGGGATAACTACGGGACACCCGCGTGACGACCACAAGGCAGCCAAAGAACCACCACAAGACAACCACGGAACAACATAACAACCACACAACAACCACCGAACAACCACGGGACGCCCACGGAACAACCACGGGTACGACCGCGGGACAACCAAAGAACAACCAGAGGACAACCACAAGACAACCAAGGGACAACAACGGGGACGACAACGGGACAACCGTCGGGATAGCAATCGGGACAACCACGGCACAACACATGTGAACTCACAACTCGCAAGATTCACTCGACTTCCCTGGGATGGCAGCTGAATACTTGTTCACAACCATCCTGTGGTGTTCGGTCTTTGGTTTGAGTCCGCAGCGCTCCGCGTCCTTTCCTCCTCCTGCTCTCTTCCTCCCCCTCTTTTCATGCCTCCCTCTCCCCTCCGCATGTCCATGTAAGCACTGGCGGCGCGCCCAATTCGGTAACACCACGCTGCGTGGTCCTATGGGGAGCTCTCCCTCCGTCGTACAACCTGCCTTCTCATGCTCAGGCCGGGTCCCCCGCCAGCATAATTGTCCTCGGCCCCCGGTTCCGTTTCCCGATGCGTGGGGCGGGGGAAAAGGAGAAGGGGAAGGGGAAGAGAGAGAGGAGGAACGGGAAGGGAAAAGAGGCACGTCGATGGGATAGACAAGGCTATCATGGTGCGCTCGCGCTATGAGCTGACATCCTTCCGTTCCAACCAATATGTTCCACTTGCGCTCCAATCCACCCATCTGTACCCTGCCCCGCTCTCTGGAGACGGTGTTCGCATTTCTTGGCACGACGACCCAAACATGATGGGTGGCGGCTTTGTTGGGCACGTTGTTTTGGACGGTTCTTGCTACAAGCATCCCTCCGTACTGTTGCGGCCCCTGTCGGGAACCCCACGCCCCAGAGTAGCCGGGAGGTACTCGGCCTTCGGGGGCCCAGTATTCCTCGCTGGGGGCCCGTGCCGTTTCTATATGGATTGCCTGTGTGCATAAGCAGTTCCGAACCCCTGGCTTCCACAACCATCGACTACAAGCTGGTCTGCAAGGGTATGATGATGCAGGTTCTGTCTCATGCTGATAGCATCCTGTCTTTCTTTGACAAAAGCCAAAGCTCACACAGACTTGCATGCAAAGCTGCCCCCTCACGACTCCTTTCTGCTCTCGGGCAACCACGCGGCTGACCTGGCTGCTAGCGGAAGTGCATGTATTTACGTTGCCAAAGCCGTGGCCACTCTCTCTGATCGCCTCCTCCCCCTCTGGCCTCGCCTTGAGCTCAAGGGGGTGCAACGGATCGTCCTTCCGCGCCCTGTCCCTGTGGCCCGATCGGGCCATGTCTCCGTGGTAGACGCTGTGAGGCGGAGCCGTCTCCTGGTGCTTGTTCACACCACTCGCGCGTGGATGTGGCTCGTCTCGCTGCCCTTGGCCATCCGTGCTGGATGGTGGATTGCAGTGATGACTATTTCGTCTGTTTTTTTGCCCGGCGCGCAGGAGCTACACCTCAGGCCAGCGCCTCGCCGACATTGCGGCGCGTTGCTCTGGCCCTCCTGTCAACCAGGATGGTTCCCCCAGGACCCCCGCTCCGTGGGCTCGTATATTGAAGAGTCGCCATCCGAAGCGGCCACGGGTAACCATTCTGGCGAGCAAGCTGGCTTCCTTGTGCACATGAGTTTGTGTGATGGACTGCCTCTCTGGGCAGACGGTAACTGTCTCGCGTGCTGGCGGTCGGCCAACGCCCCGCTCGTTGCCCGCTCTCCGCTTCAGGCTCTAACGACTCCCAACTCTGGAGTGGGAGTCTTCGGCGCCTTCGCCTTACTCAATGCACCAGTGAAGCATATAAAAAATTCCAACTGCGCTGAGTTAGAAAGTACATATACGACCACCCTGTGGGTGATGAGGAGGTTGGGGGGCAGCAGTGGGCAAAAGTGGTGTTGTTGTTCTGACGATGCCTGTGGGGCGAAGTCTGATGAGTAGCGCGATTGTGCACGCGACCACGATGTGATGGCGAAGCGCACTCGACATTGTCGTGAAGTGCTGTCCCCGCGTGCGCTTATCAATCGCGCGAACCTCACCTCAGCGCTAGCTGACGTGGTCGAACGTGCGCGTTGCGGTGCCACAGTGACAGCTCGCGGCGCCACCCGATGCTGCCCTGGTTTCAAGTCCGGCGCTCGAAGCACGAGCAAAGCTTGGTGCCAGCGGCGCCTGCGTGCGGGTGGCAGCATCCGGATTTGCATATCGATGTGCATTTCGATGTGTTTTTCGATTTAAATGTCGACGTGCATTGGAAAGCTCGACGCGGCGCCCACGGCGCCTTACGATTTGCATTTGGATGTGCAAATCGATTTGCATTTCGATGTGCTTTTCGGTCTGCACGTCGGTTTGCATGCAGACTTGCATTGGATAGCTCGCCGCAAGCGGCGATGTTTTGACATGCGCAACTCACGGTGGGACACCGGCGGGTCACCAACAGGACACCGAGGGCCACCGTTTGACGGGAGGAGCATCATTTAGTCCGGCCGCGGCCCAGCCACAGGAGGATTTCGGGACACCAGCGGGACACCGGCGGGACACCGCGCGCCACTGGCCGCCGGAGGAGAAACATTTGGTCCGGCCGCGGCCCAGCCACAGGAGGATTTCGGGACACCAGCGGGACACCAGCAGGACACCGCGGGCCACTGGCCGCCGGATGAGAAACATTTGGTCCGGCCGCGGCCGAGCCACAGGAATATTTCGGGACTCCAACGGGACACCGGCGGGACACCGCGCGCCACTGGCCGCAGGAGGAGAAACATTTAGTCCGGCCGCGGCCCAGCCACAGGAGGATTTCCTCTCGCCCGCCCACGCAGCTTCGCCTCGCCCGCACGCACGCACGGCACGCACTACACGAATCCGAAACCGAAATCGATTTCTCGGTAGAGGGGGTCTCCGTTTGCCCACCACCCGCCGATATTGTATCCGTCGCCGACTGGTTTGTGATCTCAGGGGCAACGCGGAAGAGGGAAAGGGAAACGGGCGGCAACGACAAAGATAGACTCGGACCCAGAAACTGCGGCTGCGCTCGGGCGTAAGCGCCATTCCTGCACGACGGGGGGCAGAACGACCCTGAGATGCGGATGCAGCGGGGATGAGACGTCCGCCGAACTGGACTATATCAACAACGAAGAAGCGCGAGCAGTTACAACGGAGCAGCGCGATAAACTCGCCAGAAAAAAAGAGCGTCAAGAGCTTGGGCCCCTTCGCCGAAGGCCCCTGCGGCATGGAGATGCCCTCAACAAAAAAAGGACACCCCATCCAAAGCTAGGAGATAGGGTTGTTCTGAACCTTCGTGCCAGGTGGATGCAGAGAGGCAAGGGAAAGAGGAAGGTGATGGGGGAGAGGGGAGAATAATCATGAGGGACTAGAGAGAGGGGGGATGGTGCGGGGGTGGACAGATCACCATCCTCTGCAGGCCCATGGGGGTCTACTCCGAAGCCTCTCAAGTCCCCGGGGAGTTTCCCAGGGGAGGCCTCCAAAGCCCTCAAAAGGCTGGATGGGGCCAACAACGTCCAGACATCCAGAAGCCTCCAGAAGCTCGGAGCGCCACATAGAAGGGGGCAGCAACAAAAACCTTCGGAGGCCCAAGCATCCTCCAGAAGACGTCAAAGAGCCAAGGCAGGACCAAGGACGTCCACAAGCCTTGGTCTTCGACTCTCCACCAGCACGGGAGGCCTTCCGCCTTCCGCTGCGCGCTGCGGGCACGCGGGCCGAAGCGCCCCAAAGGGTGGAATGCGGGCCGCACACGTTGGAGCACTGCCAGAAGCTCTTGGAGGCATCCGAGAAGCGACGCGTGGGGGAACAACAAATTGCCAATGTCGATACTTCCAGGACCTGTGGCGACGAAAAAAAGTTCGCAGTATCGGTATCCCCGAGATCCGACGTAGCAGCAAAAATCATCATCGCGGACAATCGCGACAAAGACCAAAGACCACATGATTCTGCTACCTGTTGGGGTGCCGGGGTCCGACACGAAGCAACAGCGCCCACTGTGACGAAATTGCATCGAAGGGATCACATGGCCGTTTCTCTGGGAAAGAAGGGCAACCAGCATCAAAACAGCCTGTCCTCAGTCTTCGACCCGCCTGACGCACGGGCCACCACTCGCCGCGCCCCTCCGCGCGCGAGCCGACGCTCTGGCGCGCGGAGGGCGCGGGGGGCACGTTGGAGTACTGCCAGTACTGGCAGAGCAGGTAGGAGACGCAGATCATTCTGCAGTGGGCCTCCGCGTCCTGGGGATCGCATCGCCGTCGGAGCAGCCGCCTTCGCTGCCAGCGTCGACTACCCGCACTGTCGCCTCTCCATCGTCGTCACTGATCATGTCTCTCCTCCGTCGTCGTCGCCGTCGCCCATCGTCCTCGTCATCGTCCTCATCGTCGTCGTCGCCCGTCGTGGACGTCGTCGGACGACGCTGTCGGTCCTGGTCGAAGCCGTCTTCTTCGTCATTGTCGACCACGGCATTGTGCACGTCGTCGTCAACGTCGGCACCACTGCCGTCACCGCGGTGTCGCTGTCACGCGTGGGGCTGAGGGGATCCGGAACGATCGACTACGGAGCACGCGGGTCACCAGCGGCACTGAAGACAGTAAACCAGCACGGACGCGGACAGAGAATCACGTTCCTGCCTTGGCCACGTGGGCCCGAGCTTCTGGTGGCACCGCGTGAGCCACTCACGCTTGAACGATCTCCCCTCCCAGATGTGCCCAAAATCTCTGGACCCGATCTTTTTGTGGAATTTGCGCCGTGTATTGCTTTCTTTGGGTCTGGGGCCTTAGCAAGGATGGCGCGCCTCGGGCTGGAACCCCACCATTCAATCCCCCCCTTTCTGCGGTCCGCCGTTCTGGAGCCACACCGCCCACTTTCTGATGCATCATCTTGGACCCCCCCTTTCCCAAGGTGCGGGGTCCCCCCCCGCAAACCCGGAGCCAAGACAGGGCCCACCTCGTTTGCCTACAAAGGGGCTGGTGCTCCCTCCCCACCCCCCTTTGCTCCAGAGCACCAGTCCTAACTCCCGGCCTTAGCCCTGCACAATGACATGAACCCTACACACTGATCCAGGCACCATGTCCGAACACTATAGCCCATCCAGGACACCCAACCAAAACACCGAACCCTCACACCCTAACGCCTTAATGCCCTGATCCCATCGCCCTACCCATCACAACTGACATCCTGACGCAAACATTACGGAGTAAAACGACATGACCCTAGTATGAATTAGGAAGACGAATCAAGTAGGTTGGGTTCGGGCCCGCGCATGTAATAACAAGACGCATCTCAAACGACTCGATGTGTGAAGTAGGAAGGAGCTTGAAATATATTCGGATCGGAAAACCCCCAAATACACACATCCAAACATTAGTCTGCTAACCTGAGACGCCAACACTTAAACCCCACCATCCTAACCGTAATTGTAATCCCCTGACCCTCACCCCCTTACAAGCCACTAACATCCTGACCCCTAACACCCTGAACATAGTTCAAACACAATGACAACCTGACCGCCAGCATCCTAACATAACCAAGCGTTCCCCTGGCCCCCCAACCTCAAAAAACAACACCCTGACCCACTAACACCCCAATCATGACACGCGAAACGCCCGAACAAGAACACCCGGGCACATTGACCCGCACACCGTCCACCAAACACGATCACCCTGACCTGAACCAGCCGACCGTTCACAAACCGACCCCTCACACCCGAAGCCTAAACCCCATCGCACCACCCCAGCATCGTACCCCCACCACCCTAACATAGATATCCTGACCCTTACCCTAAGCACCATGGCCCTCATGTTTGACCCCTCCTGTTTGACCTTAACACCGTTTCCCTCACCCCAACTCCATAATCCGAGCCCCAATTCCATAAATCGAACACCCAAGCGCATCAACACCCTTACATTCAAACCTTCTGATAGGAGCGGAAACATACAAATTGTTTAACCGAATTTGCGTTCAGATGCCCCTCGCTTGGCCACATCTCCATACTGCTTGATCCGGGGACCATGTCCTTATTCACTGGCGCCTCGCATGTCGCCTCCAGAGGGAGCATCGTGTATGCGTTCGCTCGGACGGGGGGCGGGGGAGGGTAAAAAATGCTTCAATACCGGGGCCCTGTAAACCTTTCTCGGGAAAACGCAATGTCAACGTCAACTGCATCCGCTACCTCAATCAGCAGACCCCGTAAACTGTTTTGGGGCGACTGTGCTGGGACAGTGTGCGTCCTGGGCATGTAAGCTTTCGTCGGGCCCCTGGCCCGAAGGCCCCCAGGGCGATTCCCGGTAAAGCTTGGGCGGGGGCGAGGCCCTGGGAAAAAGGAGCGACGGGCCTTACGATCGACGGCCGTGGGTCTTCTGGCCACATTCCATGCACCCTATGGGGCGAGGCCGGTGTCCCCCCAACACGTGCGGAATAGAGGGCCTCGCCGAAAGTAGGCGGAACGACGTAAATACGTGCAGCGTGAATTGCCCTTGCAGAGGGAGAAAAACATGTCGCAGACGCAACACGGAAGACCTTTGTGAGTGCCCGCGTGTGTGGATGCAAGACCGTTTTCCTGCGAACCGTTTCCCCGGAACCGCTTCCCCGGAAGCGTTTCCCCGCGGACGCCGCATTCCCGGAGACCTCTTCCCCGGAGACCTCTTCCCCGGAGGACCGTTTCCCCGGAGGACAGTTTCCCCGGAACCGTTTCCACGGAACCGTTCTTTCGTTTTCGTTTCCCTGAAGCCGTTTCCCCAGAACCGTTTCCCCGGATGCGTTTCCCCGGACCCTGGAACGGCAAGGCTGTTTTTCCCAACCCTCCTGCGTTGGGTTCTCGTTTTGAATAGAGCACTGCTCGCGCGAACCTTCCTTCCTTCCCACCCCCTCCCGTCCCTCTCTTCCCCCCTGCCTTTGACCTCGCCATCCCTGGGGGGCTGCGATCTGTGAGCCTGTCGCCACTTTCGAAGGCTGCTGGGGGGCCCAGCACAGTGGGTACCCACCGCGGACTCAAATTAGACCTCGCCATCCCTGGGGGGCTGCGATCTGTGGAACGGTCGCCACTTTCGAAGCCTGCTGAAGGGCCCAGCGCACTGGGTACCCACCGCAGACTCAAATTAGACCTCGCCATCCTTGGGGGGCTGCGATCTGTGAAGCTGTCGCCACTTTCGAAGGCTGCTGGGGGGCCCAGCACAGTGGGCACCCACCGCGGACTCAAATTAGACCTCGCCATCCCTGGGGGGCTGCGATCTGTGAAACTGTCGCCACTTTCGAGGCCTGCTGGGGGGCCCAGCACAGTGGGCACCCACCGCGGACTCAAATTAGACCTCGCCATCCCTGGGGGGCTGCGATCTGTGAAACTGTCGCCACTTTCGATGCCTGCTGGGTGGCCCAGCACAATGGGTACCCAGCGCGGACTCAAATCAGACCTCCCCATCCCTGGGGGGCTGCGATCTGCGAAGCTGTCGCCACTTGCGAGGCCTGCTGGGGGGGCCCAGCACAGTGGGTACCCACCGCGGACTCAAACTAGACCTCGCCATCCCTGGGGGGCTGCGATCTGTGAAATTGTCGCCACTTTCGAGGCCTGCTGGGGGGCCCAGCACAGTGAGTACCCAGCGCGGACTCAAACTAGACCTCGCCATCCCTGGGGGGCTGCGATCTGTGAAAGTGTCGCCACTTTCGAAGGCTGCTGGGGGGCCCAGCACAGTGGGTACCCACCGCGGACTCAAATTAGACCTCGCCATCCCTGGGGGGCTGCGATCTGTAAAATTGTCGCCACTTTCGAGGCCTGCTGGGGGGCCCAACGCAGTGGGTACCCAGCGCGGACTCAAACTAGACCTCGCCATCCCTGGGGGGCCGCGATCTGAGAAACTGTCGCCACTTCCAAAACCTGCTGGAGGGCCCAGCAAAGTGGGCACTCACAGCGGACTCGAATTAGACCTCGCCATCCCTGGGGGGCTGCGATCTTTGACACTGTCGCCACTTTCGAGGCCTGCTGGGGGGCTCAGCACGATGGGTACCCACCGCAGACTCAAACTAGACCTCGCCATCCCTGGGGGGCTGCGATCTGTGGAACGGTCGCCACTTTCGAAGCCTGCTGAAGGGCCCAGCGCACTGGGTACCCACCGCAGACTCAAATTAAACCTCGCCATCCTTGGGGGGCTGCGATCTGCGAAGCTGTCGCCACTTGCGGGGCCTGCTGGGGGGGCCAGCACAGTGGGTACCCACCGCAGACTCAAACTAGGCCTCGCCATCCCTGGGGGGCTGCGATCTGTGGAACGGTCGCCACTTTCGAGGGCTGCTGAGGGACACAGCACACTGGGTACCCACCGCAGACTCAAATTAGACCTCGCCGTCCCTGGGGGGGCTGCGATTTGTGAAGCTGTCGCCACTTGCGAGGGCTGCTGGGGGGCACAGCACAGTGGGTGCCCACCGCAGACTCAAACTAGACCTCGCCATCCCTGGGGGGGGCTCCGATCTGTGAAGCTGTCGCCACTTTTGAGGGCTGTTGAGGGGCACAGCACAGTGGGTACCCACCGCGGACTCGAATTAGACCTCGCCGTCCCTGGGGGGCTGCGATCTGTGAAAATGTCGCAACTTTCGAGGGCTGCTTAGGGGCACAGCACAGTGGGTACCCACCGCAGACTCAAATTAGACGCCGCTTTCGTCCTTGTTCTCCTCCTGCAGTCACCTTCCCTCTGCTGCTGCCGTGCTGATGGTTCGGTTTCCCGCACGTGTTTCTCCTGCTCTGCGCTCCCGACTCCCCATGTCCTCTTCGAGCCTGTAGCTGTCGCCCCTCGTTCTTGTATGGTTCTCCTGCGCATCATGCCATAGGCGCGTGTCCCAAGTAGCTTACACATCAAATTGATTGTCCATGCAAGTTTCGGCCAACCCTTCGTTTCCATTGATACAAATGGGTTGGGTACGTCACAGGGTAATTGTCATGTTTCCAAGGTTAATGCGATTGATTCTGAAATGGTCTCACCGAAGCCGACACAATGAAGTGGCCCTGGGACACACAAATAAATACACACACATAAAACATATCCCCATACATTTTAACATATGTTCTAGGTTTCTGTCTTCTGCCCCCACTGCCCATAGTTTCCAATAGTTTTGGGGAGTCGACGATTCATTGTGTCTGTGTGTTCTTTCTCCCCCTGCAGCAGATCCTGATGAAGGACACGATCCAGCCGAAACAAATTATCCCAACCCTATGCAAGTGTGCGTGCCGCAATGCAGGTGGGACACATTAGGGGGAACTCCCCATGAAACCACGAAACATGAGAAGAGAAGGGTGACCAGAAAATAGCGAGGTGTCTCATGTGGGCCCTGACAAAAGGGGGACTTTAGGTCGAGTTCGCTATGGGGCCACGAAGCATGTGAGGGGTGTGCCGACATGCGCGGTGGAAACGCATGTGAACGCAGCCGCTGACGCATTGAGTGGAACTCCTTGTGGGGACGTCGAACGAGTGAGGATGTCCCGAAATGCGCGGTTGAACCGCTTGCGAACGAAGCCGTTGGGGACTTCGGTGGGGCAGTCTGGACGCCACGAAACGTGTGGAATGTGTGCCGACATGAAAGGCGGAACTGCACGCGAACGCTGCCACTGGGGCACTGGGTGGAACTGAATGCGGGCAGTGTGGGGCCTTAGGTGAAACACCCAATGGGGCCATGCATCGTGTGAGGCGTGCGCCGCATGCGGACGCACCGCTGGGTTTTTCGGTGGAAGTCCTACTCCGGCCAAACAGCGTCGAATGTTGTGCCGACGTGGGGGTGAACCGCATGCGGACGCAGCCACTGGGGCCTTCGGTGGGTGTCCGAATGGGGCTACGAAACGTGTGATGGGGTGTGCCGATATGGGGGTGGAACCGCATACGAAGGCAGCCCGTGGAACCGTCGGTGGAACTCCGTCTGGGGTCAAAAAGCGGGTGAAGGGTGTGCCGAAATGGGGGTGGACCCGCATTCGAACGCAGCCGCTGGAGCCCCTAGGTGGGGCTCCTTATTGGGCCACGACGCGTCTGAGGGTGTGTCGGAATCGTGGTGGGTTCGCATGCGAACGCAGCCACTAGGGTTTTGGTGGGGTTCCCTGGGGGGTCACGGATTTTGCGGAGGCTGCGCCGACATGGTGGGTGGCACCGCGCGCGAACGCAGCCGCTGAAGCCTTCGGCGGAGCTCCCTGTGGGGCCGCAACCTGCGGGGGGCGTGCCGGAATGTGGGCACGCGCGAACGCAGCCGTTGGGGCCTTCGGCGGAGATCCCCACGGGGCCACGAAACGTCCGAGGGGCGCGCTGGAATGAGGGCGGAACCGCATACGAACGTAGCCGCCGGAACCCTCAATGGAACCCCATACAGGGCCTCGAAACGTGGGTGGGACCGCGCGCGGGCGCGGAGACTTCGGCGGAATTCCTCATGGGCCCACCGAACCTGGGAGCGTGGAAGGGATGGGTGCGCCTGGGAGCCTATTTGCACGTGCCCACCCCCTGTGGGACCGAGCCGTCGCTAGGAGTCGGACTGCCCCCCCGAAACGCGCGCGCCTTGAGGGCAGCGCGCACCGAGGTTACAGGAACAGAGGCGCGGGCGTCGCCGCCAGCGTGGCCTGCGACAGCTGCACACCCCCACTTGCGACGCAAGGTGACGGAAACGCACGGAAGACGACAAGCCCTGGCAGGGGCGAAAAGAAGAAACTACATTATATATCAAACGTTCAAAGAAAGGCGGTCGCAGAGAATAATCGACATGTGACATGGACGCCTGCGGGCACGAAAAGTGAATTGGACGTGCGCGCGCGACGTCCATGGGAATTGACATGGCGTGCCGCTGACCAGCTTACGTTGGAGATAAACAGGGCGCGCACCTGACGAAAGCGACAGAGAGAGGGAGAGAGAGGGACAAACAAAAAGAAAACGAGAAAGCAGGACTGAGAGAGCGCACTCGAAAAAAGGAGCGTTGCACGTCGACGCGCGCCTGCGGAGAGGCGGAACTCCCCCCATCCGACCCGGAAGCGCAAGCACGGGCCGATGTGCGGGAACA